AAATCTTCGCATGTATTTTTGAATTATCGCAATGGAAGGTGCTACAACCAGGTAGTGGGAAAAGGAACAATTGGACAGTGGCCGTCGAAGATAGCCGAGTATTTAAAACTACAAAATCCTACAAATTATACAGGTCATTCGTTTCGCCGTACTTCAGCCACCCTCCTAGCAAATAGAGGTGTGGATGTGCTCGGGTTAAAAAGGCATGGGGGATGGAAATCCTCAACCGTTGCCGAAAGCTACGTCGAAGATTCCCTTCAAAATAAACTACAGTATGCAGATAAAATTCTTCACGATAATGACAACACATCATCCTGCAATACTTCTGAATCCTGTGCTGAACCATTACCTGCTACTATAGCTTCGACTTCACTGGCCTCGATAGCTAATTTTACTTTAAATAAAAATATAACTGAAACCGAAATTGAAAAAACATGTACTGCTCCAATTTCTGTAAGCAATTGTACAAACTGTACATTTAATTTCAACATTAATAAATAGATTTAAAATACATCTTTCTTTTATATCAATTACCCACATTTAAAACTGAATTCTAGAAAACTCATTCCAAATCAATGCGATGTTGAAAATGTCTATTTTGACAGTTATTCACTTAGGTACCGTTCTAGAACGCATCCTACTGTCGTAGAAACAAACATGGTAAGTGAACTAAAAAAGCTTGATCGTGCAAAAAAAATTTTTATTTAACTTTTTTTTCGTAGATCGTAGGTACTTATATTTATCGATATGAATATGAAGTCAAACGTTGTCGGTGGAATTTGCGGACACCCTGTATTTATTTATATTCATATTTTCTTAGACCTATAACTTCGGAACAATCCAGGATCAATCAATTACTTTTGTTTTTTTTTTGTTTTAGAATAAAATCTACTTTATGCTTCCAAAAAGTAACAATACTTATTAAAATACTACCTGCAGTAAAATAAACTCCAAGAACTTTCCGTCTTTCAACTTTTAAGCGCGTTGAAGTCGACCGATCCCACAAGGGCCCTAGGCCTAATTCCTACTTTCGTATTTGGAGATTGATACTTAGGGACACATATTCGTACTAGCTTAGTTTATATTCTCTGGTATACAGGACCTGAATTCAGTTTCGCTACACTTTAAAATGTGTAAAACCTCTATTACATCTGCCGCAAACCAAACCATGTACATTTTTACATACAAATCAGTTGAAAGGGGGCCCCCGAGGATCGAAGCTTCCCGGGGAGTACGGCCAGTAACTTGGCGGTGCAAACAACCCAGGTTGCGAATGTTGCGTGGTGGCTGGTAGGATGCTGGGTATCCTAGGGTTAGCCGTGTGAGTTGTGGGATATAACGCTGCCCCTAGCTCGCTCTGGTGCGGTTGGTACTTGTGGTAAGGGGGCATAACGTCACCCTGACCCTGGGCTTGGGCCTGACACGCGGCCATCAGCCCGTGGAAGTCGAACTTGTAGGCGTACCTCTTGCCGTGCACCTTGGACATTATGTTTTTGTCGTAGTAGTACCTGAAATTTAATGAACTGGATATTAGCAAAAAAAAATCCAAATCCAAGTTACTGCTATCGATTGAGCGACTTTTGACTCTATTTTGAGTATAAAAAACCAATTTAGAACCAATTTTCTCTAATATGATTTAAATTTAACTATTATTGAGTCATTTTGTACTCAGACTTGGTTTTTAATTAACTAAATATTGAGTGCAAAAATAAATCACTCATAAATGATTAACGGGCCCCTATCAACTATGATCGAGACTACAGAAGCAATATGTAAGTGGTGCCATCTTCACGGCGTCATTCACACTACTCGAAAAAATACATTTAAACTCACTCAGATTTACTCTGATTTAGGTACAAGTGCAGCAAATACGAGTTTACGTGAATTTATTTAAGGAGTACCTATATTTGAGTGAACGTATTCAGTTTTAGTTTAAATATGATTAGGTATATACAAATGAGTAAAATGATAAAAATGACCAATATTGAGTGAAATTCAATAATTATTTCACTCAGTGGATTCACTCCGAACCTTTATTGCCTTCACCCATACCGATTTTTTTGCAGTGTACAGAAAATAAAAAAACAAATTGAAACTGAGGAATCAGGTTAAATGACACGGGCATTGATTAAGCTAGAAAAAAATTTTCTGAGTTTATGAGCAGTTTTGAAAAAAAAACACCTTTTTTTGTCTACCTACAAAACGTAGTCTTTTACATCCAGGATGTGAGTGAAATTAAGTGGATTTTTTTTACAGTGTAAGGTGTACTGGGTAATTATTGAAGAAGCACCAGATTTTGGAGCGGATATTGACGCCCCAAAGAATATTTTGTATTAAAAAATATGCAGTATATTATGGGGGACGTAAATGTCAAGTAGATTAATCGTAAATGTCCAAATTTTCTATTCACAATTTTAGTAATTTTTGAATTGTAGGCTACAGTTTTCGAAAAAATGTTGTTTCATACTCGATTGCGAAATTCTTTTGCATTCTCGAATACAAAAATAGCATTTCGCAATCTAGCATCAAAAAATAGTTTTGCCATTTCTGTGTATCGTTTAGGTAAATGCTAAATCTCCAAGTCCGTTTATGTTTGTACAGGCTGGTCCATTTTCGATGGGAATTGAGGGTATTTCAGAAACTACTAAATATAAAGATATGATAAATCTAACACCACGTTCTCGAGCTCGATTTTCATGGCAAACTCGACTGTCAGATCGAAAATTTGCTATCTTCATTTGTTTCTGAGTTACAGGGCGTTTCCCGTTATTGTGACACTTTTTAACATGTCTGTATCTCAGCTGTTAAATAAGTTAGAGTTAAAGTAAAAACTGCTCAAGACTAATTCTTTGGCGTAGAATTGAATGTCGGTATTAGATTTTTAGTAGATCTTAAGATTTAGGAGTTATGACCCAAAATTATATTTTTTTAAATGGAAATCGTAGCTGACCATGGCCTAAAAAAATATATATTTTTTTCCGCTTTTCAGCAATATATCACATGCTATAGTTATTTTTACAAACACGGGACATACGGAGTGTTTCATATATAAATTATATATTTTTTCTTTTTTAATATGACCGGCTATGAAAATACAGATAAAACTATAATTCTTACTTTTACAAAACTCATATCTGTTGTAAAAATATGACGTTTATTTTAAATGCATAACATATACTCGTGTAATAATATAATACTAACGAAATTTTGGGAGATAGGTGGATAAGAATAAACGGACCAATCAGATGGCCAGCTAGGTTACCTGATTTGAGTCCGTTGGACTTATTCCTTAGAGGTTTTCTAAAAGACATATTTAAAATTCATTTCAATAATATTTCAAATACCTATACATTTAATGAATGCTACCCGAAGCGTTGCCAGAAGATGCGTGAAATGTGTGACAGTTGAAGGACGGCATTTTGAACATTTAGCTATCATTTTTGAAAGTTTTTATTGATGTAGGTACTTACTATTGTTTAATTTACGTTTAATATTGTAACTTCAGTTGAAGTGGAATAAAAATTTGAAAACTCTGTCTTTTCTTATCTGTAATATATATTTTAAATAAACGTCATATTTTTACAACAGATATGAGTTTTGTAAAAGTAAGAATTATAGTTTTGTATGTATTTTCATAGCCAGCCATA